GGACTGGGGCGGCGGTGGAGGTGGAAGTGGAATAGGTGGCGAGGGCGCAGGCGTGGACGCAGGAGGTGGAGGTGGCGGACGTGGCGAATCAGCAGCAGTTTGCAGCTGGAGGAAAAGGAAGCAGAGAACATGGACGAGATAGCACAGAGGAATGCGGAGACGTTGCGGAAAAATTGCGGAGTATAGTGATACGGATTGTAGTAGTGACTGGTTTAGTTCTGGAGGAGGAGAATTGGGGTAGAGGACAGTTTAAACGGGAACGAAGTATCGAACTTGGAGATAAAAATCAGCGTTCATGAAAATAGTACACGGTACTGTTACACCAACGGGTCGGAGGAACAATATGACGTACGACTTGTACGGTTGCGTAGGCATGCGTGGGCTTGGCCCTAATCCCTAGGCCGGAGTTTATGTTGTCTAGGCTAGTGTGGCCTTCTTCAGAGCGTATCAGTACGCAGTAGGCTCTGAAGAAGGCCACAATACGCTGGCCGAAAGCTGGCCGTTAGCCACCATGATATTGACGCGGCTCGTCCCGGATATCCTAGACAACGTACTTGTACGGCTAGGACAGGAATAAGTAAAATCCGATATACACGGAAGAATTTTCGTGGTTTCGACGTACAGAAAACGTGCTGTCCAGATTGCACATTTTCTGCATGAAAACTTTTGATCATGTTCGTAATTTTTTATGCAGAACGCATACAGTTTGACTCGAGCGCCTCTAGCGGCTGAATTGTTCACAGATTTGTTAACCTGACGCGACGGTAATCGGCCATTTCGATTTTATGGTTAGGTGTGTCAAGGTGCCATTGTGTGAAGTGATATTGTGATAAACTACAATTTTCCCAATTCCTACCTTCTAATTTTCTTATCTATGCTCCTCATTAATGCTAAATAAAATCCATAGCCAGAACACACGCACAGAAAGACTACCATTGAAAGTACTCGGGCGGCGCAATTCACTTTTTTCTCGTTAGGATTGTGGCGATTCGTACAGAAAACGTACAGACTGTAACCGCGAGTTTTGACTTTTATATTTCCAGTTTGGTTATCTTGAAGTTTCAGTACAGAAACTATGAGAATAAGCTCGATAACTGCACCGTGTATACCGGGCTTGCGACTGCACTAAACGGCGTACACA